TTGGGTGATTGTATGTGTTTTTTTCATTTATCTCAAGGTATCTTTTGATTTCTTCCTTGATTTCATTGTTATCCCATTCATTGCTTAGTAGCATGTCATTTAGCCTCCACATGTCTGTATGCTTTTCACTTTTTTGTAATTGATTTCTAGTTTCATATCACTGAAGATTCTTTATATTACTTTTTTTTTTTTAAAGCACGTTGTATTTTATTTGTTCCTTGAAGAAACCAGAGTTGCTCCCGTCTCATATTATTGACACATGCTGTACTTCCTGCTTGGAGTGCCTACTGCCATGATTTTCTTGTGTCCGGCTTATTACAGCTCTATGGACTCCACTTTAATGTCACCTCCTGAAAGAGACCTTCTCTTACAAGCCAGTTTTGATAGTTTTTTCTTTTTGCTTGGTATGATTTTAATCTTCTTAAAGTTACTTATACTTGTTTTGTGGTCTAACATGTGATCTATCTTGGATAATGTATCACATGCACTTGAAAGAATGTATATTCTTTTTTTTTTTAAAGATTGTTTTCTTTTCTTTTCTTTTAAAAAAAAAAAAATCTTTATTGATTTTAGAGAGAGGAAGGGAGAGGGAGAGAGAGAGATAGAAACATCAATGGTGAGAGAGTCATTGATCGGCCACACCCCACAACCCAGGCATGTGCCCTGACCGGGAATCAAACCCTGATTGCCTGGATCCTAGGTCGACGCTCAACCACTGAGACACACCCGGCTGGGCAGAATGTATATTCTTCTGCTTTGGAGTAAAATGTTCTAAAACTATAAATTAAATCCATTTGGTCTAATGTGTCATTTAAGGCTGCTGTCTCCTTGTTGATTTTCTGTATGGAAGATACATTGATGTCAGTGGGGCATTAAAGTCTCCTACTATGACTGTATTATTGTCAATCTCTCCCTTTATGTCCATCAGTAATTGATTTATATATGTAGGTGCTGTTATATTGGGTGCATAAATGTTTAGGAGGGCTATATCCTCTTACAGGATTGATCCTTTTATCATTATATAATGTCCTTCTTTGTCTCTTATTATAGCCTTGTTTTAAAGTCCATTTTGTTTGATATAAGTATTGCTATCCCAGCTTTTTATTCATTCCCATTTGAAAGAAATATCTAGTGTTTTGTAGTGTTGTTGTTTTGATTCTCACCCAAGAATATGTTTCTCATTGAATTTAAAGAGAGGCGCAAGGAGAGGGAGAGAAGGAAACATCGATGTGAGAGAGAAACATCCATTGGTTGCCTCCTGTACATGACCTGAATGTGCCCTGGCCAGGGATCAAACCCACAACCTGGTTATGTGCCATGACTGGGAGTTAAACTCATGACTCTCCAGTGAATGGGATGATGCTCCAACCAACTGAGCCACACAGGCCAGGGCTATTTTGTAGTTTTTAAATAAAGGATTGGTACATATTTTGTAAGATTTATTTAGGTACTTAATATTTTTGATGCTATTGAATATTGTATCATTAAAATGTTAACTTTCTATTTATTGCTGGTATAAAAAATAAAAACATTTGTGGATTTTAACTTGTCTCAGTTAACTGGTTAATTTCAAGAGCTTGTCCATAGTGATACTAATAGTGTTACTTCATATATTATAGTACTTAATCCTTTTATTTCTTTTTCTTGCTGTTTTGTACTGGTTAGGAGCTCTAGTACAGTAGAAGTTGGTGATAGTGGGTAGACTTAGTTCATTACTGATTTCAGAGGGTAATCTTTCAACATTTTACCATAAAGTATGATGTATGTTGCAGGTTTCTATGATTACCCTTCAGTAGATTACAGGTATTCCTTTAATTTAAGGATATGCTACAGAGCTATTTTTATTTTTATTTTTTTAAAAATTAAAAAAAAAAAAATCTTTATTGATTTCAGAGAGAGGAAAGGAGAGGGAGAGAGAGAGACAGAAACATCAATGATGAGAGAGTCATTGATCGGCTGCAGCCCTCAACCCGGGCATGTGCCCTGACAGGGAATCGAACCCTGATTGCCTGGATCCTAGGTCGATGCTTAACCACTGAGCCATGCCCAGCCGGGCTACAGAGCTATTTTTAAAAAAGAAATGATTGTTGAATTTTATCAAATATTTTTCTGCATCTATTGAGATGATCATTTGGTTTTTCTTCTTTCTTTTGTTGACGTGGTGAATTATATTGATTGATTTTCAAATATTAAAACAACCTTGCATTCCTGGAATGTTTTACTTGGTATCCTTATTATGTATAATTTAATTCACTTTGCTGTTATTTAAGATTTTTGCATCATATTTGTGAGAAAGAATGTTTGTAATTTTTCTTTATTGTAATGTGCCTTTCAGTTTTGGTATCAAGGTTTTGTTAGCCTCATAAAATTAGATATAGGGGCAAAAGTAGGTTAAGAGTTGTTTGTATGGAAAATAAGACAATATTAATAAATAGTAATATAAGGATAAACTGTTTTGCTTACTCACAACTGTAAGCCTACTTGTGACACACCCTCTATTTGGTAAGTGGTCTATACTTTTCTTAGGTCTACATTATCCCAGGAGAGAGAGTCTCTCTTCCATTATTTACCATAAATATCTTTGAATTGAGACTCATTTTGTTTCACTGGCCTGATTTTAGTCATGTGGCCATCCATGAGCCAATAACCATGGTCATGCTCCAGTTGGTAAGGAATGAAGTCAGCGCCACCTTAACTATATGGACAGAATGGGAAGGGGTTTTTCTGGCAAAAATTAGAGTCATATTACTTTAAGAACTGGGAATGGATGCTAGGTAGGTAGAAAGTACATATGGCTATTACACAATTTGTGTTTTTTCCAGACATAAAGAAGTGAAAAATTTTACATAGCCAAATTTATAAATTAACTTTTATGTTTCTCCCATTGAAACTCCCAACACATCCTTTTTTAAAAAATTAAAAAAAAATTTTTTTATTGATTTCAGAGAGAGGAAGGGAGAAGGAGAGAGAGAGATAGAAACATCAATCATGAGAGAGTCATCATTGATTGGCTACCTCCTGCATGCCCCCCCACTGGCGATGGAGCCCACAACCCAGGCATATGCCCTGACCGGGAATCGAACTGTGATCTCTTGGATCCTAGGTTGATGCTCAACCGCTGGGCCATGCTGGCCGGGCCCAACACATCTTTAATAATTTTACCCAAATTTTCTTTCTTATGTTTTCAGGTTTTATATTATCCATTTAATTCATTTTGAATTAATTTCAGCTTAAGATATGAGGTGAGGCCCTAACTTAGCTTCTCCTCCAAGATACTAGATGGTATCTTGGTTTATCTTTAATTTCTTCAACTTTTTTCTTCAATAAAACATAGTATCTGACACTCACGTGGTACTTGCTCTGTATCAAGCCCTGTGTTAAGCATTCTAACAAATATTAATGCATTAATGCTTATAAGGATTCTCTGAGATAAATACTACTATTGTTATCTCTCTCTCTATATAACTGAGACTCAAAGGAGTCTTGCTTGCTCAAGATCAAATGGCTAATAGGGTAGCTTGGATCTGAACCCAGGTAGTAGGCTTCTAGTAGCTGTACTCAATCTCTGGGTTATACTGCTTCTCAAAATGATCGATGCTTTGCAGCTGGTAGGCTTCTCTAGTACCCATGTGTATTTTTGTTCTCACTAGTTGGTTTGTATGAAGAATCAGTTGTGTGTTTCCGAATCTCTCTCTGATAATAGGACTTGTTATTGTCATTACATATTTTACCTAAAGATAAACCAATGAAATATAAGTGTAAAAACAAAACTGTTTCTATGAAAACTAAGTTGATTCTCTGTAATAGATTCCAAAAAGCCAGATATTTTGTTGTTGTTGAAGTAGGTGTGGGTGAGAACTGTGAAGACTGGCAAACAGGCAAACAAAAAGTGAAATTTCTAGAATTCTGCTCACAGATAGTTTCTCAAGCATCTTTAAATTTTCTGTACTACTGAAACAAATCCTGAAAATTATAGAGGATACATTATGAATGTTGGTTAAATAAGAGAGACTACAACATTCATCAGCTTCATTCTAAAGAAAGGGATATTTATAGATTAGTGAATAAATATTTATTTATGGGTTTTAATTTCAAATAAATATTTAAGATGTATATATCACTTTTAAATTGTTCTACTGTTTTATCCTGCTCCCCCCCTCCCC